CACATATAAATTGATCAACAAAGGAGTTCCAATTTTTCTAGATTCGATTTCCAAATTTGGTAATAATCCTGACTGTACTCATTGAATATATACATATAAAATTATTTTAAGTAAGTTTCTTTCATAAGGTTTTATTTTATTGGTTGCACAAATAACATTCTCCCAATGAAGTAGAAATTTGCAGATCTGGTCGAAATAGGGTTGAAATAAAGTCGAAACTGACTGATTTTTACTATGTAGTTGCCTCAAGTCAAAACATTTCGACTTCATGTATACTCCCAACCAAATAAAATCAAATATTATCAAAATGATTGACATCAATAATAGAAAACTTACAAGGAAGCATCATTGAGTTTAGTTTGTTTGGTAATGTTTGATTTAGTACTGAAAGTATTTTATTGCCATCTAATGTATCTGTATCTAATGTAATCCACAAAGTGAAATTTAATACAATTATTGAATACTTCTTTTAACTCCTGATTTATTAAATATTGATAAGTCTACTAGATTTTACATCATTGTGCATTTGATTGAAATAGCTTTCCCAAAAATTCGTTATAATTGAGTACCATTAACATACAGATTAAAGCTTCGAATGATTTGGTTCAGTTTCGGTTTACCCTTTGAACCAAACCAAAACCAAATCATTCAGAGCTTTAGGCTAAAAATTACTTGGCAGTTCCTGATATTCTGATTTTTGCATTCTGGTTATTTAGAATTAAATTTATTAATTTCTAATCTAATAGACTTACTATAGCAACCAATATCCTGGTTAAATGAGTTTTTTCTGGAAGCACAGACTTAATTACTCAAAGGTGTTGTAGTTAGGACCTGAGCTTGAATGCATTTAAAAAGTTTGAGGAGATAATGAATTTTATATAATTCTCTGACTATACTTGGATATTATGCATATGTTTATCATATTTTATAACTGCTGATGTAGAAATAGTCAAAGTGATTGAAGGTAAAAAAAATGTTCCTAGTGGCTCAACTAGAACTGATACCTCAACTAAAAAAAGCATGTCGGAAATTTCAGGAAGCAATTGTGCATCTATTCAGAGTCTAGCATCAGTTCAGTTCACTTCTGAACATTCAAATTATCAGAATCCGGGGAAAAAAACTCTAATGATATTAATATAGATTAATATTAAGGTTGTGTTGGTTCAGTCCAGTCCAGTCTCAGTCCCAAAAGATCGGTCTTTAGATGCAGTCTTTGGGACTGGTTAAAGATTGTTTAAAGGATTTTTGATGTGAATTATACATGCTATGGTAATTATTTTGCCAAAAACGTAATACGTAATACGTAATACGTAATTACGAAATTAATTACGAAATTAATTACGCGTGACGAAATCAATTACGGGTGACGAAATCAATTACGCGTGATGAAATCAATTATGAATGACGAAATTAAATGACACGTATTATTTATCTCGTTATACTAGTAAAATGACATAATTTGACAACTTTTTTTAG